GGGGCGCAGGAAGAGGACGCAATTGCTGTCTTCCACTACTGAAAAGAGGGTTATAGACAAGACAGAGCAAATTCTCACCATTAGTGCACACTGAAATGGCAAGTCACAGTCTGTGACCACTATCCCAAGGGAAATTCCACCTGGACATGAGTTAAATGCACTTTCCTAAGACAATGGTTAAGCCCTGGCACAGAGAGGCTGTCACATCTCATCCTTGGAGTTCTTCAGAGCTGTCCCAAACAAACCCTGAACAACCTGATCTGGTTTTGTGAGTCTTGCTCTGGGCTGGGTTGGACCAGACATTTTCAGAGGTCCTGTCTGATTCTAAACTTGCTTCAGCAGATGCATGTCAGCTACCCACTCCTTACAGAAACAGTGACTGAGAAACAGTGCTTTTGAAGCATCATTCATACGCCACAAAAATGAAAGCATATTGTAGTCCAGCTGCTGAAGTTAGACATCAGGGCTTAACACTCAGCTTTCTGTTCATCTCCTGTACTTTATTTCAAGAAACTGATGTCCAGTATAAATAAACTTAATATTTAATCTTAAGACAACAACTTTAGGAGCCTTTGACATGGAAGAACACACAAAGTGCGTTGTGACAATATACCTAGCAACTGTATATCCTGCTTTGAAATAAAGCTGTGCCTGAACAGAGCTTGACATTCAATCTACATCAGCCAAACCATCAAGCAGGAAGCCAAAGCAAAGAACAAAATAACAAAAAACAAAGGTAATATGCCCTTTTTCTTGTTTGGAAAAGAGCTCCACCCCCACCCTCCTGTGATTCACACTTGTAAGTTTAATAAAATGGACAAAATCTGTTCCTAATGAATCAAAAGATAACACCAGCAGTGATAGCACAAGGCCACATAAGGTCAGGCTCTGACAACCTGGTTCTGCCTTACAGAAAGAAATGACCTGTGTTCCTGAATGCACTTCCACCAGCAGCTATGCTTTCCCTTGACAGTCATGCCAGAGAAACAACCCACTCTCACTCTGCATAGCTTACAAAGTGATCAGGCTATCCCCAGGGGCATACAGATGTAAGTATTTCTGCGTCTGATCCTGAAAGTGAAGTACACAAACAAAAGCAGCAAGAGCATCAGCATCTCCCCCCACACACGTCACAAAGACAGGAAAAAACAGGCACATAATCAATATGTTACCTGAGCCCTTTTTGTGTCACTAGGCAGGAGCAAGCTGCCTGTTTTTCCATTAAACATCCTTGTTTTTATTTTAACCGGTTCATTAGTTCCCCGATAAAGCTTCACTGGGTACGGCTTATAAGCTTTTTGAACAAGGTTGTAAACACCAACAGAAAGTGACAGATCTTTGTTCAGATACAGATTTAACCTGTGTAAAAAAGCAGATACAGGCTTGAGACTTCTGAAAGATCATTTCTGCAAAAGAAAGTAACCACCTCAGGTAAGTTATTTTCTCTGACCTCCTCCTATTCTCCTCCCCCAAAATCACATGTATCTCTGGAAACATACTACTACTTGAGTTATAATCTCGCTTGTATAAAAACATTCTTGCAATGCTGTCATTTCTGGTCATAAACATGATTTAAACACAAATAATCTACCATATTTCTTTCACCTTTTTTCACTCTGAAGGGCAGTTATGCTCAAGCAGAGCACAGGACAAGTTCACATTTGGGCACCCCACTTGTGCTTAATGCAATGTGACCTCTGAATTCACAGAGCTGTTTATGCAGAAGGCAAAATTCCCCAAAAGAACCCCATCAAGACAAACAATACCACGATTTAAGAAAAAAAGTCAGAAGTTAGAGAAAAATTCAGAAGTAAAGGTTTAAAATTGGAGGTAATCTTCAAGTTCTGAGAACAGAACAGTGAATTACTGTGAATGTTACTTTCTCTCCTCTAAAAGGTATCACTGGCATGGGATTCTTCCTCCTCAATTACTAGAAAACTTGAGGAACATTCCCAGAAGAGGAAAATAAAGCTGTGAGCAGGAGCAAGAATGCCAATGACAACAGCTCAGGTTGGGATTTTTTTAACATATATTAAAAAAACACTAAGCTGTGAAATTCATTCCCTTACTGTGCTTCCGCATCATTCTGTTATGAACTCACTCATTAAAAAAAAAAAAAAAAAAAGCAACTGTCACGGAGGATGTGGTTCCAAAAATACTTTCTATCTGCTTTGTCAAGATCCCTTTAATCTCTCTGTAAGTATCTCTAATCTTTCAGTAGGAGATCATAAACATCAAGGCTGTGTGAATCCACACCAAGTGCCTAGACAGACTGGCCCCATATAACTATTAAATAATAGGCCAAAATACCAACCAGTCACATTGAGGTGAAATTTTTCTAAGTTAACACTAGTGAGAAAAGCCTCATTTCAATCAGATTTCACTATAAACTAACCATTTTACTTGTTGCAGATTTTTTGGTAAGTATTTTACTTGGCAATTATGTAATTTTTTGAGAAATGGTCATTTCTGGCCAAGCTCAATCCAGGAGAGGTCACACAAGGAGAGGAAAAAAGGAGGCCTAGCTTCACTCTCCGCTCTTCTCATCCACCAAGGACAAATATCCTTGGAAGCTATGGAAGAAACACCAATCTTGGACTAAGGAATTAAGGTTGAGGAATGTAAGCACCGATGCCTTTATAGACCAATCACTCCAGAAGAGGGAGGTGAGATGCAGTCTAAAAATAACATCAAGTGACTCCATTAAATGAAATACCATAACTAGGCACAAACCTGACTAAAGCCCGTTTCTTTGTCTCCTTTGCTCGCACTTTCTTCATGAGATGTTCCAGTTTCTCTGACTCCTCAGGTTGGATCCCAAGGTCCTCATCCTCTGCTATATTTATGATATCTCTGTAGAACAAAGACATATCAAACCCTCCAGGCTTCTTCAAGTGCATCAAGTCCAGTATGATACCTAGAAACAAAGTAAGAGACAGGAGGATCACAGAAACTGCTTTTTTCTTACATCTGCGTGTTTCTCAGCACTCTCAGATTTCTCTATCTAAGCAAAGAATTTAAGCAAGAATAAGCTCCAAATTGTCATCTGCATCAGA